TCGAGTACAAACCATACCCACCGTACATCGTTGCACGCGCCCTGACGTTGCTGACCAACAAAGAGGAAGCACTCAACACGACGTTCATCAGTAAAAATACGCCGAACTTGTTCCTCCTAGTGTCAAGCAGCTGGACCTCGGAGGACTGCACCGCGTCAACCTCCGTGACGGCAATGTCGCAGTGCTGCGGAAGGGCAGCTGCAAACAAAACAACGGAAGACCGCATTACAGTCTGGCTCACGCGGACGAGGACGCCGGCTGACTCGGCCGCCTCAGCACCACCAACAAACTGCAGCGCGGCACCCCCACGGAATGTGCACCCAGTGAGCGTGATGTTGATGGGGAGATGCAGCGGCATACTGTCGAAGGAAAACGTCAGCGTGGCACCCACGCCGCTGAATGTCACACCCACGTAGCAGTGGTGCGTCTTCCACATGTTCAGCGTAACGTTCGTCAGCGTCTGTTCCACCACGCAGCTCGTGTCGCCGTCGACGGCTCTCTCCGCCACGGGCGGCACAACCGTGTCGGGCACCTCGAAGGGAAGACACGACGCGCCATGCCATCCGTCCTTGCAGCTGCACGAGCACGAGCTGCGGTCCACCGACTCCGTCCCGGGCATGTAGCACGCCGCGTCGTCGTTGCATGTGCCACACCTGAACACCTCCACCTCCTCCGGAAACATACCGTCGTACGACACCTCCTCACCGCCCTGCAGGTTGCACCCCACCACAAACCGCGCGGGTAACGTCACGACAATGCTCGATGGGAGAAATTTGGCGAAGGAAACACTCGAGTCCACCTGACGGTTGTGTGCAAGCGCCACAGTAGTGCCGCTCTCTGACAGCTGAATGTTGAGCTCGGCATTTGCTATACTTAGTATTGAGAACGCACTCGCGCTGTTGCCCTCCACACGCCACTGCGCACCACCCTCGAGTGTCACCGAGCCGTCAAAATACACCAGCGCAGATTCAAACTCCTCTGTGCTTTCAACAAAGGTGCAGTCCGCCACTCGCAGCAGCCCCGCGGTGCCCACGGTGGTTTCCCCGTGAAAATAAAAGCCATTGACCGCGCTCATCGTGGTGTTTTCAACGTCAAAGTAGCCGCCGTTCCTCACATCAATAGCATTAACGCAAACAGATGATTCCACACCGTCATCGTCCTCCGTTGCCCTCAGCGTATTTCCCTTCACAATGACCCCGCCACCATCAACAGCAGCATTGGAAATATACAACGCGCAATTACTCCCCTCCAAGTTGTTGTCAAGCAGCAGCAGCGTCGAGTTCACACCAAGAAAAAACTTCACAAATAAAATGGCGTAAGACGACATCGTCACAAGCACACTGCCCACCACCAGTATCTGGGAGCTCACGCCAAAATCGCCCTCAAACACCAATGCACCAGAATCCAGCATCGAGGATGTCACGCTCACGTGCACGCGCGCACCACTCCCCCTGATCAACAGGCCCATGAGGACGCACTGCAGCAGCGTGATGTTGAGTGTCTGTTGTGGTGCGTCGAAATACGACAGGTCCAGCAACATCGGGGAGGTGAAGGTCACGTTGACAAGGCACAGACCACGCACACCGGGACCAGGATAGTCCAAAGAGTCGATGCTGTCACCGTGCACGCAGCGGACCTCCGTGTCCTTCGCATCGGGGAGCGGGAGCGGCCCAAGACCGTCCGGAACCGCAGCTGGCAGACACGTTTCACCGTAGCCGCCAGCAGCGCACACGCACTCACAGCCGCTGATGCTGCTCGTCCTCGCTGCAAAGCACACGGCGTCCACCGTGCACGCACCACAGTCCAACACCGTCACGGGCGTCCCAATATTAAGCTCTTCTTGGTAATCCGTCACAGGTGAGCCTATTGCCTCGTTGCACACGCCGTAGATGGTCGGGCGCGTGTCGGATGGTGGTGGCCACTTGCTCGTCACACATGCAATGGTAGACGAGTACGAGCCGTACGTGAACTTGTTGTAAAGTATCGACCACACACTCTGATCACAAAACGCAACGCCGTAGTAGTTGGTCACGTACACGACGTAGGCGGTGCGGAACTCGTTGTTGCGGTGCACCAGCCAGCTGCCGTCAGTCACGGTCAGCGTGGTTGCCATGAGCATGGCAAAGCCAAGACGGAAAGTGCTGGACACAATCTGCAGCACGCTGCCGCCAGCCACAACAACATCCCTGAACACACAAGCAGCTTCGTACATGTTAATGCTCGGCGCACTCCACAAGCTGTCCCGTATGGAGAAAACAGAGCCGCCGCTCACACGCAAATCCGACGCAAGAGCGTACATCACGTGCATCTGCGACCTGACAGCGCAGTTGTCCAGGTAGAAGACGCTGGACAGGTTCACGCCAAGGCCGCGCTCCACGAGGATCGCAGCGCACAATTCCCCGCCACACGCCAGCGTCGACCGCGTCATGACAAACCGCGTCGACAGAAGCCGGACGCCGTCCAGGACTAGCGCGGGGCCGTGCCGGGATCCCGCGTGGCCAGGGGTCGTCGGCACGTACTGCGACCCGCCAACCGTCGCGCGCAGCGTTGAGTTCGCCAGCAGCACTCTCGAGTGCAGCGGCATCGCGCCATGCAGCACGATCGTGCCCTCCACCGACGTCACGTTCGTCATGTTGACGAAAGCGTGGGGCATCGGGTGCGCCGTGATCTCGCTGAGGCCGCCAATCCGCAGCTGCGCACCGCCCGCAAGCACGCAGTGGCGCAGCGTCACGTTCAGCGCGTCAGCGAACGCATCCATCAAACGCAGGTCCACCGTCACAGTGATCGGCCCGCTGAACACCACCGAGTCGAAGCACGTCGTCGCCCGCCCACCGCCAACCGTCACGGACTCCGTCAGCGTCACGCCACTCACGCAGCCCTGCGCACCGCCACCACCGGCCCTCGCAGGCGGCACGTCGAACGGCAGGCACGCCTCGCCCACACCGCCGGCACGGCAGCTGCACACGCAGTCGGTGAACGACGCAGTCAGTGCATCAAAGCACGCCAGCGCTGCCGCACAGCCGTCGCACGGCACCACGCTCACGGAGGGCAGGCCGGCCATGCGATAGTCGCCGCTGCTCCGCAGCACCCGGCCGCCAGCACGGTTGCACTGCACCGACACGACGCCGCTCGTGATCGTCAGCCCGGAGACAAGCGTCGCGCCGGCGGCAGCGCAGCGCGCAATCGACACGGTGCCGCCGCTGAGCGTCACCCCCGACAGCGACGCCACCGACGACGCCTCGCCCACCGCCCACACGTCGTGCATGTCCAGCCACCCGCCGCCACCGACCGTCCCACCGTCGCAGCGCACCAGCGACGACGCAACAGACCCCTCGACGCCAACGAAGCGCAGCACCGAATCAAGCACCGCGAGGCGCTCGCTGAGCACAATGCCACCGCCGCTGCTCACAACCGACACGTTTGTCACGGAGAACACCGAGTGGCTCTGCAGACTGAGACGCGACGAGGACGCCACATGCATCGCGGACGCGGTCGGACCGCCCGACGTCACCAGCGACACGCCGTCAAGCACCACCGCGCTCGACAGCAGGTCCACACCGCCGCCAACGTACACCGCCGACCCGCCCACGTGCGACGACCTCAGCACAGTGTTGCTCACACGCAGCTGCGTCTGCAACAGCGACGTCGCGTACAGCACAAGCGGCGACGCCACCGCGTCCGTCAGCCCACTCAGCTGCGAGTAGTGCATCGGCCCCGGCGTCACAATCGTCGAGTCGCGGACCGTCACGTTCGTGTGTGCCGGCAGGTTGTGCACAAACACGAGCGAGCAGTAGCCGCCGGACAGCCCGCTCACGCTCACCTCCAGGCTCCGGTCACTCGCCGGCTCACCGCTGTAGCCCCGCACGTAGAGCTGCGCACCGCCATCGCACACGCAGTTCCTCAATTCGATGCGCAGCGCACCGGGGAGCATCGCCGCCACGTCGAACACCACAGCCACGCCGTTCGTGATGTACACGCCGTCCATCAGCGCCGTGTCCACGGCGCGGCCAACCGTGATGGCTCTGTCCACCGTGCCGCCCCGCAGTCGCAACACCACCGCATGCACCGCGGGCATCCACGCCGCAGCAGCAGCCAGCGCCAACACCAAAAGAAGCGCCACACGCACAGCCGCAATGGCCCTGCTCCGCACACGGTGCCGGCTGCGCGGACACGCACCCACCGAAGACCGCATCCACCGACCCAGACACGTATCAGCAGGGCTCTCGTGGTGTGTCGCACTCGCCCCGTCAACCATCCCTCCTGTCTATCAAATCCCTTTCTACAGATGGTAAATCCAGATACACGATTCCGATAGGTCGTTATCCCACTAATTATAAACCTAATACTGCGAGTAATCCCTAACACCTTGAAACGATAGTTGTGCTGGTAAAGCAAAAGTATCTCTAACTGCACGGCCAGAAAAGGAACAAAAGGAAGCAACCACAGTAACCAAACACAGTGGCACGCAGAAGCATCCGGCCACAAAAAATCCCAAACACAGTACAAACCCCAACAGGAAACCGCGCAGACGCAATCAATTCAGTAGCACCATCACCCTCGCACCGCCCGCGCAGCCCCACACAGCCGCCGTCCCAAGTAACAGGGTCCCGGCAAAAACAAACATGACCACTGGCGTCGCTGGTGTGACCAATGAGTCGGCACTGCACAAGAAACAGCGAACTCATACGCGCACGGCATACACAAGAACGAAATGAAGAATGAAGGAGCACGGCGGCAGTACGCAGACACGGGGAAAAAGGATCCACATCAACTGCACAGTCCGATTCGCTCGCAGCCGTACGGATGGTGGTCGCGCCGCCGCCGCACTTTGCGTGTGTGTGTCTGCCGTGGACTGAGAGGAGGATGAGACGAAAAAGAGATGCGGTGCGGTCCTCATCCATCTCGGTTAACTGTGACACCAGTCACGCCATCCCGTCAGATTACCTGCAGCCAAGACCGTCACCGTCAGCAGCGGTCGGTGCCTTCTCTCTCCACCGGTCGCCGTCACGCGCCTCCTCCCTCACCAATACAACGGGGGAGCAGCAGCCACACGCAACTGCCAGCACCGAGTACAAAAGAGGAATCCACCTGCACTGCAATGTGTGTGTCCTGCGCGTGTGGTTGTGTGTGCCCACTGTCACGCGAAAAAAAAGAAAAAAGACAGAAAAAAGAAACAAAGCATCTGAAGAGACGCACAAACACAAATGCACAGCAGAGGCGCATGACCAAAGAAAGAAGAATGAAAGGGCTGCTCAAACTCAGGATTGCACTGCAGCCCGATCAGCGGCAAACCACAGAAGATTTATTCAAAACAAAAGAAAACTTTCCCTAGCCACCCCCTTCTTATATAAACCCCGTCATGAAAAAAGAAAAAAAAAAGAACTTCCTATATTACTGTTCCACACAAATTTAAAATTGATAAAAAAAGTAATAATAATAATAATAATAAATTCGCCTGGCTGCCATGTGGCCACACCGAACCGTCTGCATATATTTTGCCCGGAAAACAAAATTAAATAGTTGCATGTCTTTCAACCGTCCGACCTCCATGTGTCCGCACATCGTTTATATTTCACGGGGTCATCTGCGTGTTGCTGCTCCCCTCAGCCCTTTCATCGGCGTGCGAGTGCGGCCCGCAGAGCTCAGTCACTCGTGTGTGTGTGGAGGGAAGTGAGAGAAGCACGCAGACATGACGGAAGTCGCGTCTCCCCATCGGGAGAGTGAGCGCAGCAAAAAATAAAAAAAACATCATGAGAAGGGGAGAAAACTGCTGACGGCACTGCCAGCGCGTGAAATGCACACAAAAAGCAAAAAACCCTAAAAACCGACAGGGTGTGGCTGTGTGTGTGTGGCGCTGCGGGTGTCTGCCAGCCCTGGCAATAAAAACAACAAAACAAGAGGGAAAGAAATGTGTGCTCCGCCCCACATGCCCTCGTCGCACGCCCACACGTCACGGCTCCCTCAGCGCGCCGTTCGTCGCGGCCCCTCCTCATGCGTGCAGCAGGCGAGGCGCACAGGGCCGTCGTCATGAGCGTGTCGGTGGGTGTGCGAGTGGAGCAGTTGGGCGGGAAACACACGGCACCCCTCACAGGAAGAGTGCAGCAGGAAACAATAAACAAAAGCAAAAAAAAAAAAATCCATAGTGATTGCCCCAAGGCAACAAGCCAGATAAGAAAACAATTTATAAAAAGAAAAGAAATTGTTCTCTGCGTAGTAAAATTTATTCCTAACGGTGTGTGTGTGTGTGTTGGTGAAGGGGAGGGGCGCAGTGTCCCACGCGGCAGCCAATCAC